CCTCTCTCTTCCCCTCTCCCACCTCCTTTTCCCAGTCTCCCCCAGTTTTGTTCAATAAAGAGAGTTTCTATTTTTGAACACACGTGTCCTTTATTTTGTACATCAGGAAGGGGGGCTAGGAAGGGGTAAGTGGAAGGAAGTGAGGGAGGAATGGGGTACGAGCCCCCGATGGGGAGGACTGGGGTAGCTCTGCGGGCTCCTCAGGGTGGAAGCTCTCCTGCAGCCCCCTGATTGACCTCCCGGATGGCAGCCTGCGGCAAGTGCAGCTGGGCTGATGGCCGAGTGCTGTGATGTGCCGAGTGTAGGCACTCAGGGCACTCCAAGACAGGACTGCTTTGCGTGAGGGAGGAATGGGGTACGAGCCCCCGATGGGGAGGACTGGGGTAGCTCTGCGGGCTCCTCAGGGTGGAAGCTCTCCTGCAGCCCCCTGATTGACCTCCCGGATGGCAGCCTGCGGCAAGTGCAGCTGGGCTGATGGCCGAGTGCTGTGATGTGCCGAGTGTAGGCACTCAGGGCACTCCAAGACAGGACTGCTTTGCTGTCCCTCGTCGTGGTAGACAAGCAAGCGGGGAACCCTGAGAACTGTCTGTCCGGGGTGAGGGTCGGGTCCCTTTAAGCACAGCCCTTGGATAGGCTGAGACAGCAGCTCCACGCTCTAAGTCCTAACCTGATACCCTGCCGGCACTGCTTCCGGCCAGCCTTAACTTTGGTTCAGGGTCCACTCAATGTGGACATGCTAGTTTGAATTAGCAAAATGCTAATTCGAACTAGTTTTTAGGTCTAGATGCACTAGTTCGAATTAGCTTAGTTCGAATTAACTAATTCGAATTAAGTTAGTTCAAATTAGTGCTGTAGTGTAGACATACCCAGAGATGGAAAAGAGCTCTTCTCAACAGGTGAAAAGAGTTTTAATAAACAGTAGAAGACAGACTACACATAAGACTTACCTCCAGAAGTGGAACTGCTTTGTAGCATGGTGCACCGATAATGATACTCTGCTGATTGCCGCTCCACTACATATTATGCTGGATTACATTTTGCAGATCAAGGACCAAGGACTATCACCATTCTCCCTCAGAGTGCATCTTGCGGTGCTGATGGCTTTCTATCTGCCGATTGACAGATTTTCGATATTTGTGCACCCAGTCTCGAAGAGATTCCTTAGAGAGCTGCATAATCTTAATCCACCATGCAGGCTGCTAACCCCCTCATGGGATCTAGACCTTGTGCTGAACACACTGATGGGACCTCCATTTGAGCCTCTAGCCACATGTTCGCTCCCTGTACTAACAGCAAAGATGGTCTTTCTAATAGCAATCACATCGGTAAGATCAATGAGCAAAAATGCTGCTCTCGTGGTGGCACCACTTACACAGTATTTTACAAAGACAGAGTGGTCCTCCAACCTCATCCTTCCTTTCTACTGAAAGTGTGCTCAGAATTTCGCATCAACAAGCCTATAGTTCTTCCCACATTTCACCTGAAGCCTCATGCTTTTCATGAGGATGCAGTATTATGGGCTAGATGCCCATAGGATGTTAGCATTCTATATTGACTGTACACGACCCTTCCACAAATTGCAATCATTATTCCTATCCCTTATGGAATGATTGCAGAGGATGGCATTATCCGCGCAACGTATTTCCAAAATAATTACATCCTGTGTTACTCAATGTTATTCCATGCAAAACAGCCCTCTTCCTACAATGCTGAGAGCTCATTCGACACAGGCCATAGATACGTCAACTGCCTTCCTGAAAGGGGTCTCCCTTAAAGATATCTGTGCAGAAGCTATATGGGCGTCCAACCACACCTTTATGAAACACTATGCAATCATCCCTCGAACAGAGAGGAGTTCCACTGTAGCCCAGGTGGCCCTCAGATCTGCATAACTCATAATTTAAAGCCCACCTACCACACTGTGGATATTGCTACAGAATCACCAACAGTGGAGCACCCACGGGGACATCACTCGAAGAAGAAAGGGGTTACTCAGCTTGTACAGTAACAACAGTTCTTTGAGTTTGTTTGCCCCCATGGGTGCTCCACAACCCACCCTTCCTTCCCCTCTTCTTCGGATCTGTTGTACACAAGCTGGTAGTTACGATGAAAACCGAGGAGACTTGGGCTGCACACGTGAACTTCAAAGGCGCAAACTGCATGCACCACGTGCGAGCATGCGTGGCCTGACCAGATGCTGCTTGAAAAATCTCCAATCTATGGCGCTGGGACAAGCCCGAGAGCAACAGTGGAGCACCCATGGGAGGACACATTTCAAAGAGCTGTCATTATTGCACAGGGTAAGTAACTTCCCTTTCTTCGTTAATTTCAGCGGTGGAGGCAGTTGTTGCAATTGGGAAGTTAGCAGCAAATCATACTCAACTTGAAGATAAGTTGTTAGCAGATGGAAGTGCAGCCACCAATCTTCTGAGTTTAGCTGCCCAGATTGCTTTAGAGGTAGGTAGAGCTGATAATATTTTCTTGGGCTTCTGTTTAATCTTCAAGTAAGTGTAGCAGCTGTAGCCTGTCCTAATTTGTAGACTTTCTTTGCTATGTGCTACACTAGAGAAGACCTTGCTATGTAAACTCAAGTGTGTTGAATAAGGTGAAACAGAGGCTTATTCCAATACAAAGAAATAAAGTTTTAAAAGAATTCTTAAGGAAAATTCCTCAGGTACAGGCAGTCCCCGGGTTACGTACAAGATAGGGACTGTAGGTTTGTTCTTAAGTTGAATCTGTATGTAAGGCTGGAGCCGGTCCCCAGCAGACCAGGAGCACCCGGAGCAGCTTTTATCGCCCCGGAGGTCGAGGTGGCGGGACCGCTGTGCTCTGGGCGGTCCCGCTGCCTGCGAGCTCCGGGGCGAGAAAGCCCCGTTCGTAAGTGCGGATCCGACATAAGTCGGATCCGCGTAACTCGGGGACTGCCTGTACATATGTTAGTACATGGACATTGCATCAGATGCTTTCCTAAGGTCTCCTGTCATAAGGTACAGAGTTTCTGTTGTCTTCTGTCTTGATTGCTGAACTCGGAAGGGGAAGCTGCTTATATGTGTGTAAGAAGCTCAGATTCTGGAGTTGGGAAATCTCAAATTACTATGAAAAATACCTTGTCTTCCTTGCATGTATGTGAGCAGTAACTGAATTGTGCGTATACTGAATTAATGATTATATTGGCATGTATAGCACAGTCCTTTTATCTGTCCTCTTGGGTTTTACTAATAGTATCCCAGGTTCTAATGGTTTCCCCAAGATGTAGTGGTCTTTTTCTGTCTATGGACTGATTGTACAAGGAATCACATTGTTAAGACTTTTTGCCTTGCATCTGGGCATGTTTGTTATGCAGAATCCTCTTGCCTTACCCCCATGAAAAGGCCTATGAAATCCAGCAAACATTTTCCAGTTGTGGGTAGGATGGAATTATTTGAGGATTAGCACAGCTTTTAGAAAATGTGTGTGTTACTTGTTTTCAGAATGAACAGCAGGTTGTAGCTATTAAAGCTTTGGAGTATTTATATCAGCACTCACAAGATTGCCAACAAGTGTTTACAGCTTTAAAGTAAGTATTAGAGATACCCATAAAGGAAATGAATTTGTGCTGCTTTTCTTTGTTTTATTTTATTACATCTGAATATTTTTTTTTTAGTTTTCATTAAGGTGAAGAACTGAGCAGGTGATGTATACTATGCTAGCCAGCAGCTTTTCTGCTGTTGAAGTCCAGACCATCCCATGGCACTGTAAAATATACCTCATACCTGAACTGCCACACTTGTAGCCAAGACTGTCATAGGCTTCCTTTGAGTAGTGAATGCCAGCTGCTCTGAATTTAATGTTTCTGTGATGTGGACAAATGGCTGGTGGTGACTAGAATGAAATTGCAACAAATGTGTTTTGACTTCCTGTCTATAATCCCCAGAGGTGAAAGGACTGATTTGATATTTGGTATCTAGCCTTAGAACTTGGGTTTGTAGCTAATAAAGAATTTTTTAAAAAATACAATGTTAAAGTTTTCTACCCTATTTTAAGAATAATAATTATAAGACAAACACATTGCTTCTGTTGTTTACCCCAAGCCAGCCAGACATTGACTTAGCAAAGTAGAGGACAAAATAAAGGATGAGGATGGGAAAAATCTGTATATTGACTTGATGGCATAGAGAAGAGCTGGGAAAAGGTTCTCTCTATTCAGATCTGAAAAGACACAAAAATATTAATAGTGATATAGTTTCTCAGTTTTATTTTCTGTTTTTTTCTTACATATAGATGTGTGATTCGCCTTGTGTTGTCAAAAGTCATGGCAGAACCCAAAGAGAATAGGTGAGGCCATTTTCTAAATACATTTCTGTACTAGTCATCACTCACAGCCCCCAGTTGGAACCCCTTCAGCGCATCATTGACGATCTACAACCGATCCTGGAAAAAGATTCCTCACTCTCACAGGCCTTGGGAGACAGGCCAGTCCTTGCCCTACAGACAACCCCTTAACCTGAAGCAAATCCTTTCCAGCAGCCACACATCACACCTCAGTACACTCACCCAGGAACCCTACCCCTGCACCAAACCCTGTTGCCAACACTGTTCACACCTCTCTGCAAGCATCATCATCACAGGACCTAATCATATAAACCACAACATCAGAGACTCATACAGCTGCACATCCTCTAATGTGATATATGCCATTAAGTGCCAACAATGCCTCTCTGCCATGTATATTGGCCAAATGAGACTGGACACAAGTCAGACATAAAAAATGTTAATACACGTAAACCTGTAATAGTCTCTGCAACAAAGGATGACTGGACACAAGTCAGACATCAAAAATGTTAATACACGTAAACCTGTAAGGGAACATTTTAACCTGCCTGGGTACTCATTAATTGATTTAAAAGTAGCCATTCTTCTACAAAGGAATTTCACCAGCCAATCACAGAGAGAGAATGTGGAATTGACATTCGTCTGTGAATTTGACACTATTTTACTGGGCTTGAACAAAGATGTGGCATTATAAAGCCAGCCTTTCCTGCATTTAACAGCTATTTTTTAGATTACAAGTTAAGTTTAGGACACTTCCGGCCCACCTAATTAGCCTCATTAGCACAGGTCCTATAATTGATTGGTACTACCCTGCTTCTTTTTCTGTTATGAATTCTGCGTTCCCGTTATCACTTTTCAGTTCATCTGATGAAGTGGGTTTTGCCTATGAAAGCTCACAATATTATATATGTTTTTTGTTAGCCTCTAAAGTGCCACAGGACTACTTGTTATTTCTGTACTTTGATTGTCCACTTGGGCTACATCTGCAGGTTTCTTTCGGAAGAAGCTTTTCCAGAAGAGATCTTCAGAAAAAACTTCTTCCAAAAGAGAATGTCCACACAGCCCAAGCACATCGAAAAAGCGATCTGCTTTCTCGAAAAATAGTGTCCACACTGAATGGATGCTTTCTCGCATTTAAGTTGTGATTACTATGGACAGAGTGGCCACCAAGGCAACTGTGCTTTTTCCTCTTTCCTCTTTTTTCGAAAGAACTCCCTCTTCTTCATAGAAAGAGGTTTACCAATGTCCGAAAGCCCCTCTGTTCTTTCAGTTTTTTTTGAAAGAACGCAATTGCAGTGTGGACGAAAGTGAAGTTTTTTTGGAAAAACAGATGTTTTTCCGAAGAACTCTGTGGTGTAGACATAGCCTTAGAAAGGTATATGTGGTTTTTATTTTCTTATTATTCCCTTAATCAAGCCAAACAACAATTTACATAAATGAATAAGAACTTCAATTAATGGGCCCAGTGGCATCAAGTGTGGTCATCTCTTCATCTTGGATAATTTTTCTCCAAGTACCTGTATTACTCCCTCTCTTCTGTGAACTGAATGCCAGCATGATACTAACTCAGTCCTCAGTGGGGAGTGTGGATCAGACTGTTTCTCTGAAGTAGACATCTCCAGTTGACAGTTGGAAAATGTGCCTGTCAAGAGCTCTGAGAACAGTGATCTCCCATGCCAGAAACCAAGTATTTTTCAATTTGTATTTTGAGTGCCCAAAGCCCAGGAAAAGGAATACTGTTGATAGTAAATCTTGGGTCTGTTTGGACTGGTTTATATCATTTTGCTCTGTACCCACGTTGGAGTTAGTGCCATACTTTTGATATTGCAAGGAAACAAGGCTATGTAAATGAAACATAGAAAATCTGCTACAATGCTCCAACTCTGTTCCTAAAGATCGCCATATCTACACGACTGTTACTACATGCCTGCAGCACTGCTACTCCAGGTCCTAGAACAATATGGGGTTTGAGTCTTTATGCTTTTGACAAAAGGATGGGTTATTTTATCTGTAATTAGAGTTACTGTATTCTGCCATACCATATAAAATAAGTGTTCTGTAAAACTCGATTTCCCCCTCCATTCTAGGAATAACGGTATGGACACACTTGTGGCTTACTTGACCTCAGGTATGTAGTTTAATTTCCATTTTTTGTGGTTGTTTATCTATCTGCACAGTTAATGCTGTGTTTTTCTGCTCTGGAAAGATGGAAGACTACATTTAGAAGAGCTTCATTGCTGGTAGGGCCTATAACAGTGTTAGCTGCTTCCCTTAGACAAAAGGCCCCCTCTTCCTACACAGTTTCCCCTTGGGAAGAGGAAACCCTACTCCTCACAAATGCAGTTAAAAATCAGGTGACATGGCTAGCAGTCCTAGAGGCTTCAGTCTAGGATGGCCTGAAGTGACAGTTCTGTTTACATGGATAGGGCTCAGAACAGCACCTTTACTAGACAGGCAGGAGCTATGACAAATGAAAAGGGTTGTTCTGTTATAATGAGTTTCCAGTGTGAATTTATAAAGTTGGTAGTTAAAGGTCAAGTGCTAGGCTCTTTATTGTCCTTGTTATTTACAAAAAGAGGATTGTTTATATTAAAGTGACTTCTATTCTTCCTCTGAAACTAGAAACGGCAGAAAATAATAGAAAGTTGGTCAGAGAAATGATGGGCTAATGACAATATTAACACTTAGTTCAATTTGCCCTTTGCCTACCTTCCCAAAACCCCTCCTCTACTTTGACTAGTGTCCCTATGGGTGCTTCACTGCAGGTGTGTCTGCATCCCTGCCATGCTTATCAGTGAACTTCAGTAGCAATGTCTGTTGGGCCTGCATATGTGCCGTCTCTCCTTTTGCTGCATCATGAGGCTAGCCAGCATGTGTGGGCTAACCATACACACTTCTTCTTTGAAGAGTGTCCCTGTGGGAGTTCCACTGTAGGTACCTGTGCACCCTTGTGCTTTTAGCCAGAGATTTGTAATAGCAGTGCTCCGGTTCACCATGCTTGCATGGCAGCTATCTCACACCTCTCTGAGAAGCTGTCCCATGTTCACAGCCAGCCATTCCCCATTTCCTGCTCTGCCACTGTTGGCTTCAGTCAGCATAGCAGCAGCATCTTCAGGAAACTTTTCTACTATTATTTACTCCTAATTTTATCTTCTTCATTATTTTCTCCCTTCAGGCTTTTCCCCTTATTTTCCTTACTTAAAAAAAAAATCCTTCCTCCCCCACCTGAAGCAGACATTGCCTATCAGTCTATATGTATTTACAAGGGATTATTCCCATCCCCTTTTTTCAAACAGCTTCTCTGCCATGCCTAGCTCTCCAGGCATTAGATGCTGTCTAACTTGTAAACTGTCCATGCCAGCTTCAGACGGCCATGTAGAGTGTGTTCACTGTTTAGGAGAGACACACGTTACAAGTGTTACCACTGCAAAAAATTGATGGCAAAAACTTGCTACAGCTAGAGTTCATCTCGTGGAGTAGAATCATAGACTCATAGGTCTGGAAGAGACCTCGGGAGATCATTGAGTCCAGCCCCCTGCCCAAAGCAGGACCAATCCCAACTAAATCAACTCAGCCAGGACTGTGTCAAACCAAGACTTAAAAACCTCTAGGGATGGAGATTCCACCCCTCCCTAGGGAGCCCATTCCAGTGCTTCCCCACCTTCCTAGTGAAATAGTTTTTCTTAATTTCCAACCTAGACCTCCCTCACTGTAACTTGAGACCATTGCTCCTTGTTCTGCCATTCGTCACTACTGAGAACAGCCTCTCTCCATCCTCTCTGGCACCTCCCTTCAGGAAGTTGAAGGCTGCTCTCAAATCCCCCCTCACTCTTCTCTTCTGCAGACTAAATAAACCCAAATCCCTCAGCCTCTCCTCATAGGTCACGTGCTCCAGCCCCCTAAGCATTTTGTTTGCCCTCCACTGGACCCTCTCCAATGCGTCCACATCCTTTCTATAGTGGGGGGCCCAGAAGTGGACACAATACTCCAGGTATGGCCTTACCAGAGCTGAATAAAGGGGAAATCCCTGTGTCTTGCTTCTGACCCTGAGCACAGGACCCCTCCTCGCCATCATTCACCCACTGCCACATTGGATGAGGAATCCTCCTCAAAGACAGCTCCAATGGACCCTTTCACTCCAAAAACTTCAAAAAAACAGTTTAATTCCTTCCCCTCACAGAGAATTGCCTCCTAAAAAGTAATTTCCAATTACAGAATTTGCACTGGTACCACTGGCACCAAGAGCATTGGACTGCGAGGCACCGGATCTGTCTGGCACCGGGACAACTGAAAGAGCAAAAGCCCTGGTGCAGCCTAGCTCTAAGGCAGGCTCACAAGCCCACTATCTCTGCCTTGAGAGAGTGGAATAACCCCTTGGCACCAAGCAATACAATGGCACCACCTGCTGCACTGATACACTGCAGCAAGCCTACTGCTCTGGAAGCACAGACAATGCTCTCCAGCCTAAGAGTGCCTCCTCTGCCAGCACTAAGCTTCCTTGTGCTGCAGCAGTTTGTCAGTCAGGCAGACTTCTTCATCACTCACTCCAGGCACACCTCTCATCCCGCCCAACAGTACCCAGCAAGACCAGAAATGAATCTGACTAATATACCTGCAAGATCAGTCCCTCCTCTTTCCAGTGTTGAGGAGGAAGAATTGGCAGCGGGAACGTGCACCCCTCATTTCTTTCTGGGTAGGCAGTCTGTAGTAGACCCCTACCATGACATCACCCTTGTTTTTTACTCCTTTTAATGTAACCTAGAGACTCTCAACAAGTCTGTCTGCTTTGTCCATCTCAACCTCAGTCCATGTGCATATATTGAAGGATCATTAGATCACTATGAAAACATTGCCATGTATTCCATTTAAATGATAGGTGAAAGAGCAGGAATAACCAAACTGAGTGATTGGGCAACACAAAGGCACATGGAATTCAGTGTTGACAAATGCAAAGTAATGCACATGGAAAAATATATTCTTCTTTGGTAGTGTCCCTGTGGGTGCTTCACTGTAGGGGTATGTCTAGACTACATGCCTCTGTCGTCAGAGGCATGTAGATTAGACTACCAGACATAGGAAAATGAAGCGGCGATTTAAATAATCGCCGCTTCATTTAAATTTACATGGCTGCCGCGCTGTGCCGATCAGCTGTTTGTCGGCACAGCACGGTAGTCTGGACGCGTGGGGGTCAACATCAAAGGCATTTGTCGACCACCCAGGTAAACCTCATCCCAGCAGGCATACCTGGGAGGTTGACAAATGCCTTTGATGTCGACCCCCGCGCGTCCAGACTACCATGCTGTGCCGACAAACAGCTGATCGGCACAGCGCGGCATCCATGTAAATTTAAATGAAGCGGCGATTATTTAAATCGCCGCTTCATTTTCCTATGTCTGGTAGCCTAATCTACATGCCTCTGGCGACAGAGGCATGTAGTTTAGATGTACCCTAGATGACGGGCTCATCCCGGTGCCACAGGTCGGAGATTCATTAGCTGTGGTTTAGCTGGACCGCACATGTGCGGGGGCATCGCGTGCCTTTTGATGCCCGGGTCTCCTGGATTTAAGAAATGTTCTTCATGCCGCGAGGCAATGCCAACCTTGGAAGGCCATGATACTTGTATCAAGTGCTTGGGAGAGAGCCACATTCCTCAGAAATGCCAGCACAGCTCTAAGCTCACAGTGCGCGCCAGACGGGATCACGAAATGCGCCTGAAAATGCTCCTCTTCAACAAAGTGCTGCAACCTGCTGAGGCTGTCATCTGTCATCTCTAAAGCCTCGGGTAAGCCATCATTGACTCAGAGAGTGAGCATAGGTGATAAGCCAGGTACATCTGGCTCATCTTCTACTAACCAGGCTCGAAAGCAAAAGACGAGCCGTAGTGCCTCAGAGCCGAGCCTGTCCCTACGCACCGGCATCTGCAGTACTACCAAGGGCTGACTCAGTTCCTGCGCTGATGAAAACAAGACTGTCGGCACCGAGCACATCGGCACTGAGGGAGCGCCCGATGGCACCAGTACCAGTGCCAAGACCCCAGACTCAGGCACTGCCCTTGAGTTCATCTCTTTCTTTAGTCTTGGCGCACAGCCCAACGCCACAGAGTCCTGCAGCACTGTCACCCCCAGCACTGAGTCCTCCAGCACTGGCTACAAGATCACCAGCCGCAAGAGCACCCCCCAGCCATCGACCGGCCGGCTGGGGA